TGTTGCAAAATGGGCGCCCGCACATGATAAAAGCACAGTCCAAACGCCACGCTAAAAATGCCGCATGAGCATTCGAATGTTGCCAAATTTTCTTCGATAAAATATTTATTTTACACTGGAAAAAAAGCCTGGCAAACCTGCCTAGATCTTCTGATTGCCGTCCCTCTCCTTGATTTCGGAGAGGATAACAGTCACAAAATTTTGGGGGCGTGCGGACGTGGGATTCTGGCTCCGGTTGCAAACTCCTTCAGCAACCTTCCGATTGCACTTATCGCCCATTCGATCATTGCTGAGTGTTTCATTCCTCGACTTGCGGTCGGTAAAAGGGTTTCAGTTCATGAAGTCTGGATTTTCACTTCACCTTAGAATTTTCGCTGTCACGGTCAAGTAACTTTATGGAGTCAAAAAGTATACTGCTCAATTTTTCTATGCAAATAAGTGCTTTCATAAGCCCATGGAAGTTGATTTATTTTGAGCATGAAGTTTCCCGAGGTGCGCAACGACGCACCAGCGATCGCGACTGCGTCAATTTTTTATCCTTCTCCGCCTTTTCTCTTACTGATTTTACGTGAGACATCCGGTAAAGTTGGAACGATGCCTGATGTGTAAATCTGTGCGGTCAGAAGCAATCGCTGACTAGCGAACGTATATTCGTATTCAACGGGCCACTGAGAACAAAATGCAATGCCATGCTTATTGCAATGAGTCGATTGATCTGCCATTCAAACCAATTAAAAAGGATCGAATGATCGGAGTGTTGGCAAGGAACACCTTAATATTATTGATCGATAGGTTGGCTGCTCTGGGCCACAAAAGCTCCATGACCTAACTTCAAAGTACCGAAATCTTCGTACTCTCTCTATGCAGATACTACGGATTACTTTCGGCACACGGTCGTGATAAAAAAGATCGCCTGCGATTTTAGGAAGTGGAAAAGATCGTAGAACCAACAAAACAAACGTGCGCATGCATGATGCGGAGATGGGTCTAACGCTTGGAAAATACGTCACTAAATGAAATTGCAGCAAAATACAAGAGTGAATACGTACCTCGCCTACACTACCGTACTAAGGAAGAAAGCCGTATGAGCCTTCAAGCGTTACCAAATTTCCTTTGAAAAATCACTAATTTTCAAGAAAATTTGCGAATATTTTTCTTCCAATTTCTCTGGTAATTTTGCTTGTAATTTGATCTAAAAAGTCTGCAAGTTTCAAGGAAAAACATTGATAATTTTCCTCAAAAATAGACATTTTATCTGGAGAAATTTGGCAACAGCAGAATGCTCATACGGCGTTCTTCCTTAGCACGGCAGTACAGTCGCCTCACAATGAGCCGGAACTTTTCCTCCGTGTGAGGACATACTTTCCGAGTGAGAATAGGTTAAACGATTATATCGACTCGAAAATCGACTTCCCGGCATAAATTCCCGGCGACGGATCGATCACGACCCGATACATCGAACCCTCGCACACTCGCAGACGACCACTGCCCGTGTTTTAATGGCATCCGAAACAGTTATCGACCTGTGACTAACGACTGAGCTTAATGATCCTATCGGTTGTGAACCTATCGCTCAAAATCAATTATTTTGCGCCCGCCGCGCGGAGTTCCCCGAATCGAAGCTCGCTGCGAAATCCGCGTCATTAATGCTTATGCAACCCGCTACTCCTGCCCTAAGTGCACGGGCCCGTTAAACTGGACGGCCTGCGATTTTGCAATATGGTACACTTGCGGGCAAGGGGGGCATCCAGTGTCATCCGCCGTCAAACCCGGATGGCTAAGCAACACGATATTGCAATTAAACACGCACGCATTTCAATGAGAGGACAGAATTTTTAGCGCGAAAATCTACTGTGCCAACTTTACCCGAACTTGGGACGAAATTCGGTTAACCAGTAACCAGGTATACCCAGTCCCTTTAAACGGGGTGGCAATACGTTGGACAATAAGGTGGAGAAATGGTGCTGAGCCCACACCATTTCGCGTGGAAAACAGAGCCAAGAAGTTCCAAAAATTATAATTAGAGTCAAAAATAAATTGTTTCAACTCTTCAACTCTTTAAAAGACAAATTTCTCAATCTGGAATAGTAATAAGTTGAATAAACACAAAAAAATAGGTAACCAGGGATAAAAAACAATAAACACAAGGCCTGAGATATTTCGCGGTGGTTTCAACTTCCTCTTCGACCAGCAAACAAAAATGTATAAAAATGATAAACATCAAGACTCTCAGACCCCCCTTTCCTTTTTTTGCTTCCACCCTTTGTTTTGCTTTTTTTTCATAATGCAACCAATGCTAAAACATAGTACACACAAATCCAGGGGCCGGAACGTTTCGGGATGGTTTCAACCACCTTCTCGACCAGGAACGAAATATATGGGGGGAAGGGTCTTCATTTTTATTCTCTTGGGGTAAAAAACCACCCCGAAACGTCCCAGGCTCTTTTGTTTACTATTTTTTAGCCTTGGTTACCCATTTACTTGTGTTTTTTAGTTGAATTATTCGGAGTATTCTGTGTATTATTCTTGACGATAAATCAATAACAAGAGTCACTACTGACATACGGTTCACACAAAACGGCCTCAAAAACACGCAATTGAAATTTCTTTTGGAGGGTTGGCGCAACTTCAGAATTTCAATCTTTTCGTCTGATTCTTCGTTGAAATGACCGTGAAAAAAAGGAAATTTTTCAGTCTTTTAAACTGGGATTGAACCTGTTCGTTTCTTCCTTTGGCATCAGCGGGAACCGACTAAACTCACTAAAATCAAAGTTCACTATGGAAATTGGGGGCGATTCACCCGTCGATAGGGAGCTGGACTCAACTGGAGCATCAAATTAGGCGATTGGCCCGATACCGAGCATGAAGGGGTAGATACTTGTACTGCTCGCTTTTAATCTCAGAGCACGAGGATAGCGGAATTTCAATCTCTTGAACTGCACTTTAAATTACGAAACATTTCTGCAAAATAGCAGCATCTTGGCCATGAATTTGAAGGCTGGCATTTCCTCTTGAGTTTCTTCGAATTCAGCTGTTGGTGACACAGGACCGCAGCCAAATCTCATGTAAGGAGAGCAGCTACATTCCTTTAACCGTGACGGAGCACCTTTTTTTTTAGAATCCGACGGTGTTGCAACAGTAGTGTCGAGGTGAGGGTACACCTCCCAACCGGGGAAGCTGAACATATAACGGAGAACATGCATTTCTGGCGTGCCGTTCAAAAATAGAAATGACAATCCAAGATCTGACGCTCATGACGAGCATTTGAATTTTTTAGATGCTTGCGTCACCCGAGGACCGTTTCTTCTTGAGTGCTTTCTGCATCAGTGGCGATTCTTGAAAGTTGGCAACACTGTTTGAACTCCCATTAAATGCATGTAAAACAATCGATTTTAAAAAGAGGGAAGCTGCCTCACCAACAATCGATTATTTTACTTACTTTTAATGTAAATGGAGGGAGAACAGTGTTGCCGATTTTCTAGAATCGACACTGATGCAGAAAGCACTCAAGAGGAAACGGTCCTCGGGTAACGCAAGCATTTAAAAAATTCGAATGCTCGTCATGAGCCTCAGATCTTGGATTGTCATTTCTATTTTTTAACGGCATGAGAGCTCCTGGTACATATTTGTGTGTGCGTATAGCGACACAACTACACAAGTCACCACTGGACAAAATATTTTCAGGTAAAACTGACAGCCGAGGATGGAGAAGGGGGGGGGGGAGATGAGGCCTGCGTTGCGAGTTGCGACTCAAGTAATGAGTAGTAAGGCGTCAAACTGTTGCTGGTTGGCTGTTGGCTGTCCGCCATTAATATCGGCTAATCACTCATCTCGGAGGAAATTGAATTCTGGTCAGCTGATTCCTTTCTCGACGTCACCCTCAGGATCGACGAGAACTTAGGGCGGCGCACAGTGAATCGAGTGTATAGGAGAGGTCGGACAGAATTTGTAAATTTTAAACGCTCCTAACTCCGTTCACACAAAATTTTGAGGTTCTGGAAGTGGTTCCATTGGTTTCCTCGTTAAATTTTCTTCTCGAGGCGCCCCTTCAACTTCAAACTATGACAAAATTAGTATCAAAATTAGCAGTTTTAGTAAAAAATTTCATGTCCAACCGCTGTAAATGACTTGAGCCACTGTGCGGCGCGGTGTGAGCTACTCCGTAACAGAGATAGAGATCTTAAGCGCCATCTAAGAGGGGTACAGAGTGTCCCCGAAGGCGAGAACTGTTTCGTTGGGTGAGTAATTGAGCAATAGACAAGGTACAAAGTTAAGCATTCTGATACAAGTTTCTTAACCAAAATTTAACGTGGGACAAGATTCGTGGAATAGCATTTGAAAAAATGCCTGATTTTACTATTTGTCTGCGACACAAACATTAGGAAGGAGAGGGAGAGGGCAAGGATGGATCTAAAAAAATAGAATCCGACTAAACACCCTGTAGACAGCGCGTGGCTCAGCAAAAGCGGAAGTATCATTGTTTCTGGCCGGCTGCTGATTGTCGGGTGGGAAACGAGTTATCCGTGCAGCTACTTGTGAAGAAGAAGAAGAAGAAGATATTGAAAAAAATAGGCGGTAATTGGCTCATAATTCGCTGGGCGTAGTGCGGCACATCTTATTCAGCCCGTCCTTCCACGGCCGTCGTTCGACACGACGCTAATAATACTCCCGAATTTTTGTCGAGGTTAAAATGCCGACGTTAGACACATTTTAAGCCTTGTATACACGTAAAACAACAAAAGTCTCACTTGAAATACATTGCAATTTTTTTTTCTTCTTCATTAATCAGATATAAGGCTCTATTCGCCCGTTAATCCGGGTCGGGCAAAATTCAAGGAGATCAGCGACACTAAAAGGCACCCTGCAGCATCTGAGTGCGTTCAAGGCTGTGGTCGAAACAACCGAGGAAAGATTTTCCTGTTAATGAGTTTCTCATTCAATTCCTTTTGAAAACTGTGTATGAAAAGAAAAAAAAAGGGAGAAAAAATTCTGAGACTCACCGTAGATAGGATTCCGCTCAGTCACCTGCAAAAATAAAAAATAATTGAATTATGAATCCAAAATAAAAAAAATCATTAAATTATAAATACTTGGATGTAAATACGACGTCTGTTATCCTAATTTTAAATATAAATGAACGGATTTATGCTAAATGGAACTATGTGCAAGTGGAAAGATGGGGTGCGTTTGTTAGTTGAGTGCCATAAGGATTAATGGGAATTTAAAAGCGCCAGTGACGTCAGCGGCGACGACGCCTGGGTCGTCAATCTTTAACTCATGAGCCCTGTCCACAAGGCTCTTGTCACATGCCCACGGCTCACGAGTTAGCGCTCAGTTCGTATTGATTTAATATCAAATCCCGCTTTTCCATTTTCTCAAAAGGAACTATATCCACTTTTACATCGTTTCTTAAGCAGCTTGCACGAGCACACCCCGTCTTTCCACTTGCACATAGTTCCATGTAACATAAATACGTCCAAATTGTCAATGGCTCTTCACAAAGTTGAAGTCACTTTACTCAATTTCAATGCTGCAGTACGTTATGGATCAGTTCCTTGCATGATCTTGTACCTCAGGATGAATATTGCTTCTCAAAGACGCAATCCGTGAGGCAGCGCCACGAGGTGACGGTCCTCGTCTCTAGATCACACACTGGGGAAAAAAAAAAAAACACATTGGATCTAGAGTCCAGACTCTTAAAAACATCGACAAGAAAAAGTACTCTTGATTCAATCAGAATCTAGCTTAAATCAAGAACCAAGCCTCTTAATTTCAGCGGATTTCGTTTCGATTCAAGCAAAAATCCGATTGAATCAAGAGTATTTTTCCTTGCCAATGTTTTCAAGAGTCTGGACTCTAGATCCAATGTGTTTTTTTTCCATTGCATAGAATCACCTCGAAGAGATGCGATGTAAGGATAAAAATAAATAAAAAGAAGAAGAGAGAGAAAGGGGAAAAACTTAATACTGTGAGGACACTTCGTCGGAGGAGATACCCGGAGAGAAGGGGGCCTGTTAATTGGGCACGGCTCAACGGCTTCGAAAAAGAGTGAAAGGGTAAAACCGGTGGGCAGTGCGCGAGATTACATGTGGTGTTAATTACTCGGACAAGCTGTCACAAGGTGTATCAAGTGCATCGCGTGCGGGACGGGACGGCGCGGCGGCCGGCCGCGGGCGGGGGATCCGAACTTTCGGGAGCACCCGCCCGGGGCCCGGGGAAAAGGAACCTCCGAATTCCGTTACGTAAAGCGACGTACCGTACTCAACTTTTACTTTCCGCGCTTGTTTACTTACTGGGTTACCGGCTACGCTCGGGCTCGGGATTTCAAAATTGGTGCCCTCGCTTCGCGTTTTTCCGCACTCGAAGGTCGAGACGTACTCCCAATGGAGATGTTGCATGTGTGAGGGATTTGCGATTTGACTGCTGTTTCTTATGGAAAAGTTCGCGAGAAACACGATGGTGCCACTGGTTTTCTCTGAAATCAACTCCCGAGCGCAAAAAAAGCTCTCAAAGTGAGGCTAAAATGGAGGGGATATCCCACCCTACCCTGAGAGTCCACCTCTACATCAAAACAAACTCTCCATACATAGATAGGGAGCAAATACATTAGCAGGGTTGCCACTTTATTTGGGAACTCCAAAACTAAGAACACGGCAACCCTGCTAATATATTTGCTCCCTATCTTTGCATGGAGAGTTTGTTTTGATGTAGAGGCGGACTCTCAGGGTAGGGTGGGATGTCCCCTCCATTTTGGCTTCATTTAGAGAGCTTTTTTTGAGCTTTGGAGTTGATTTCAGAGAAAATCAGTGGCACCATCGTGTTTCTCGCGAACTTTTCCATAAGAAACAGCAGTCAAATCGCAAATCCCTCACACAAGCAACATCTCCATTCTGCCGTGCTTAGGAAGAACGCCGTATGAACATCCGAGAGTTGCCAAATTTCCCTTGTTAAAACATGTATTTTTCACAACATTCATGCATATTTGTCCGTGAAATTTTCAGATAATTTAGATGAAATCGTGAATAAAACTGGCTGAAAATTTTGGAAAATAATATTAACAATATTCCCAGAAAATTCGGTTTTTATCGGATGAAACTTGGCAACGTCTGAGGGCTCATACGGCGTTTTTCCTCAGTGCGGCAGAATCCCTCACCTTCCGGCCAAAGTATCACAAGCGCAATGCGACGTTTAAAAATTTTCGCCGCAATTTTATTTTTTCACAGAGGAATTTTTCGACGAAGCTGTTCGAAAATTTCAATGAATTTTCTTTAGGCTGCCGATAAAATTCCGTGAAAATTTTGAATAGCCTCATTAAAAAACTTCCCTGTGAAAAGATAAAATGGCGGCGGCAATTTTTGAACGTCGCACGGTGCTTGTGATACTTTGGCCTGAAGATGACGAATTCATGTTCCGCGAGGTCTTCCGCACTGGGTAAATTAGCTGTTTTGCTGCGCGTGCCAAGGTAAAATCCCGTATGAACACTGAGAAATTGCCGGATTTCCACTGATTATTGAAATATTTCCGAGAATATGTTTTGAGGTCTTCAAGGGATAAAAAGCGTCTAGGGTCCCCCTAAAATTGTGGTACTACCCCAATTTATTGGAAGATACGGGCAAGTCAAATAAATTGTGGTAGAACCGCAACTTAAGTTGAGGTGGTACCGCATCATTTGAGGTGGTACCACAATTACTTAGGTCACTACAAAATTCATTCGAAATGTCCGTATCATCCAACAACTCCGCGCTCTGTTTTTCTGTGCTTTCTTGAAAATCCCAAAAAATTTGAGTTAAATTCTTCATAAAATTCTGAGGATATGTAAAAAAACATTGAGCCTCAAGGGAATTCGATTATCAGGAGCAAAAATTTAGAAAGTTTTTAACAATTCCGACACTATTCCCGTGCATCTAGGTCCTAATAGGCACCATGTTTTTATTCTAACCGACTTACAGTTAAAATGAGAGACAGACGATCGCTTTAGACATCTTTTAGGCGTCCGGTGATAAGCAATAACACACACACAAGACCAAGTCTACCGTGCTGATCAAGAGCGCCGTAAATCCATCAAGATTTTACCTCGTTTTTTGGAACTGATACTTTATAAAATAAAACCTGTTCTACCCATGCACCTCAAATTTGAGTTCTTGATAGTATTTGCAAAAGATTTCTGTAAATACATTGTCCTAAGATACACAAGTTTTTCTGCTGATACATTGTTTCCAAAAACATTAAATGGCGTTTACGGCGTTTTTGCGTTGCACGACAGAAGTGTGGAGATACCTCGAATTCGAAATCGCGACAGAAGAATCAGCGTAAAATCTGACTGCTCGAGGATCAGCGTGGCGCTAAACGTTGCGAAACGACCCCCTTGATTCCTCGAAGCATTGCATCGTGATCAATGCAGAGCGTGCCTCAGTAAAAATGTTACTGTTGGCGCTATATCTATCCTCATTTCCTTATCGACCGTCCATCTCCAGATCCCTTCCTCACCTCGCTGTCCCTGAATAACATCACACTCATTACCATTCCTTAATAAGCGTGGCGTCATCAGCCTTTCATCTTCATTGAGGCAGTATAAACCTTTCGGAAATGTTCGGCAAGCGTCGTCGGTTACGTGCCGAATGCCTGACTGCGATGCAACTCATCTTGCTTTCATTAATCCATTCATGCTTGTCTCTTGGTTTTTTTTTTTACTTTTTTACGGATAACGAGGGTGGTACATACAAGCAGGGCAACCGACCATGACCCGGCGCGGCGGACAAGTCGGTCTGGCTTTAAAGCGAGGGGGATGAGGTCGCATTCATCCTCGGCGGGGCGGACTCCTGTTCATGCTAGACTCGACATGGCAGGGTTGCCGAAATAGAGAATTAGAAATTTTGATAATATATTCTACGTAAGAGGCTGTCCATTATTTACGTAACGCTCCAGGGGGTGGGTGGGTCTTCTTATACATATGACTGAGTGAGACAAGGGGTGGGAAGGTGTCAGGCTAAATTTTACGTAACAGTAGTATACTGGCTTTCAACTTTTGGTTTTTTCACAATTTTTTTTCCTCTCTTTCCTTCATTTTCTTTACTGTCATTTATTGAATTCAGTAATCATTCTTTCAGTTGTATTTTTCTTAACGTTTCTTTTCAACTATTCTCCTTCAATATTATCTCTGAATCAAGGGCTTCAAATATTCACTTTCCAAATGATATTTGAATGGGTAAGCGAATTTTGGTAGGAGGATATTTATTGCGTTCTCTAAATAGGCGTGAAACGTGCGATGATACCACTATTGGACCAAGAGTGAGCTCGTGTTGCCTATCTAAAAATTGAAGGCGAACTGACATGGAGTTAAAGTCACCTGGCAAAGAGAGATACAGTACGTGTTGGGGGTGTCTGGAACAGGGTAACGATTGCGTTACAAGGGGTGGGTGGAAGCAAAAATTAGAAAAATAGCGTTACGCAATTTATGGAAAACCCGTAATTTAAAAATATTGGCCAGAGTAGGAAGAGAATTAAATCGAATGAGATTAGTTTATTATTTTGACTCGAATAAAATTTGGAAGGGAACAGTTCCTGCGTTAGAAAAAAGAAAAGAAACAAACATGAAAATTGAAGCATGATCTGGCATGGAGGGAAAATAAAAGGTGGTTACGGGTCAGATTAATAGGGACAAGGACCGCCCGATACAAATTATTTTACCTGACAGGATTGTCTAACCCACGATCAGAGTATTTCTGTTTTTCCAGTGGTAGAATTAAAATAGAAAATTTCGACTATGCAACGTGGTAGACCTGTCTCACCTGATCCTCTGGCCGCACAATGGGTGGTTTATTTTTTTAAGATCATTCTGAGGGAACTTCTTAATCCATGCCTGCATTCCTCCTTAGTGATGGATGCTGGCGCGCTCATGGAGTCGCTGAGAAACTTATTCGATTTTCCTTTTTATTTCACTAAACATTGACAAGGAAAAATAAACGATAGTTTGCGGCCAGACAGTATAGAAAGACGATAATCTCAATTGAAGGACGCGTAAATAA